GAGGTTGCCTCCGCGTGGGTGCGCTCGCTGGCTCTGAGGGGCTACGGGCTGTAGGGGTGGGGGCTGTGGTCCCGGAGGGCCGAGCCGGCCCCCGAGGACTCTGTCGCGCGCGTGCCTAGAGCCCCAGCAGGCTACTGGCATCCGATCCGTGCGCGCCCTTGTCGCCGACGCCAGGGAGCGCGCGAAATGGGGAATTTCACTTCTTGCTCTCGCCGCCCCCCGCTCCGCGGTGATAGGGGTACAATGGTCTCGGCGGCGTTTGTTTCAGCGCGGATACTCCGAAGTTCAGGGGTGTCAGGCGTGCGGTGCGTGTCCAGGCAGCTTGCGTCGCCGTTTTTACGATTGTCCCCAGTCTGTGGACGCTGCGAGGCAGGCTCTCGACTCTGCTCACTTGGAGCGAGCCAGGGCCGCTCCATCACAGTGCTCGTTCTGTCACCGCTGTCGTTTCCCAGAGCGTGGTTGCCAGAGGTCAGGCCCCCATTCATGATTGGGGGCTGGGGGTATATGCTCCCTGCCCGGGGTCCTCTGGATGTCACTGGAATTGTTTTCAGGGAGGGCCCTGGAAAAGTCCGGCCCAACAGGCCAGAATCCGCCAGGGCAGAGTGGGGATTAGCTGTCATGTCAGGGGCCCGCATTCTGGGCCAGGCGTTCGGCCCTTTGCCATGCCACCAACAGAGTGTCCCGCGGGCCGAGCTTTCTGCTATTTTGAAGGTGCTTCAGGTTGGGCGCTTCCTTGTCTGATCAAATCAGGTCACCTCCCTGCGATCGAGGCCATCAACCTCAGAGGCAGTGAGCGGTGTCTAGACCCCACTCGCTAGAATTTAGATGTATGGCGCCAGATCTGGCGCTGCGTCGACGAGCAAGGTGGCGTGGAACAGGAAGATTTGGTGTTCGAATGGGCCATGTCGCATCAGACGGAGTGGTCTCTTCACAAAATCGGTAACGGATGTGCCGGCGAGTTTTCCAATGAAGGATTGGGCTGTCATTCGCTTTCGGACAGTGTGGTGCGTTCTCATGCTGCTGCGCTCCTCCTCCTCGTCCGACAGGTCTTTTGCTGGGCCGCTCAGTCGCAGGAGGCCCTGACATCATGTGCGCTCAAGCTTGACGGAGCGGAGACGTCATTGAGAAGGGGGCATGCCAAGCTACCTGGACTCGGTCGCCGCCCGCCTCCCCCTCCTGCTGCTGTCTGCCACCGTCCTGTCTGGACTCCAGGCAGGTGGCAGTGCTCGAAGTGTCTCGCGTCTGCTCGCACTTGCAGAGGCAGGCGCAGGTTGGCCCGCGCGGAGTGCGAGACGGCGAAGAGGGTGGCGGCCGTGCAGGCCCGCGCCCCGCGGCCTGACCCTGCGCCGCCGTCGACGGAGGGCGGTGGGGGCGGGGGCGAGAGTGCGTCTAGGATCCGACCCCGAGATGAGCTCGAGCCCCCCTTTTCAGATGTGTGAGAATTCGCATGTGTGTGTGTGTGTGTGTGTGTGTGTGTGTGTGTGTGTGTGTGTGTTTCGGACGATGGGAGGCCGAGCTGGCGCCATCGGGGGGGGGGCGAGGGCGGGGGAGGGCCCCGCGCGCGCGCTCTGTCCGACCGGGAGTTCATTTTGATCTAGATCCTAGCCCGTCTTCCGCTTTCGAGCCCGAGAGCCGTCTCAGGATGTTGAGTCCCATGCGGAGCGCCCGCGCGTCTCGGGTGCCCGCGGCTCCGAGGGGCCGAAGGATCGTTCCTGTGCGGGCCGCATGGGGCCCTCAGACTTCATCCCTATATCTTGGGCGCGAGGTCATGAACTTTTTGTTTCAGGATCCCTTGCAGCGTGCCGCTGATGTGGCTCGTATTGCGAGGGGGGAGGCAATTGCAGTTGTTCGAGGCTTGTCGGCCGGAGCTGCTTGAGAGAATCCCCTCTTCGTCGGTATAAGAGGGATCCCAGGTTTGACAATAATTTGCACCCAAGAGTGCCAAGATTGCATATTGCCTGCCACCTTCTCCCCACGCATGTTCTCTGATGAGGCGGCGGTATGGCTTGGACCGGGCTAGGTCAATTTCGTTTATGAGTCACCTGTTGATTTGTGTGCCCTCTGCCCGGCGCTGGCCTCGATGGGGTCGTAGGCCTCGTCGTCGGTTCCTCTTGTGATTGAGAGCTGTGTTTCACTTCTTTTCCATCGCTCTGCTCATCCCATCAACCGAACTCAGTGCGCTCTTCTATCTGGGTCCGTCCGTCCTCCTCCTCCTCCTCGTCCTCTTTTGTCCCTCCTTGTAACTGCACGAGCGCAGCCTCTCGGGGGGGTCCGCACGGGTCTCTTCCTGATTCGGCGCCAGGCGCCCCCCGCCTGGCGCGCGGAGTATGCCAGCCACGGCGGTCGGGGATGGGGCGTTCGGGTGCTTCGGAAGGGCAGGGGGGAACGGGGAGGTTCGAATAATCGAAACGCAACAGAAACATAGACTTTCGACGGTCCACGCGGATTTCTTGGATCAGTGCTGGGGTCCCCCTGGCCGCGCCTCCTACGCCGCCCCTGGCGCGCTCCGCGCGCCAGGGAGGGGAGTCCAGCGCAGATCCAACACATCCGCGCGGAGCGCCAACAGTTTATGGTCATGCTGTTTTTCTTTTAAAGTCGGTTCGGCAGGGCGAGGTGTGTTTCTGCAGGGCGGGGGGTGCTTCGGCAGGGAGGGGGCCAAGGGGGGTGCTTCGGCGCTGCGGGGGGTGCTTCGGCAGGGCGGTGGTGGGGCGGGAAAGGGGGCGAGCGAACGACAACGACGACGGCGACGTCGTCGCCCCATGGGTCAGGCACAGATCCAGGATGCGCGCCGAGGGTTCTTCAGCAGGCCCCACCTTGCTTGCCCACGGCACTCGCGGCGCAGCCTGGCCCTACAGCTTGTGGGAGGCGACACCTAGCTTTGGTCCGGTGCGTCCTCGGATCGGGCGCCGGGGCGTCTTTGGGGCCGGTTTCCGTCGCGGAATTCTGTGGCATGGCATGCTGTTCAGCGGCACGCGCTTCTGAAACTCTCCCTGTCTTTGCTCCCTATGTGTGGCGAGCTCCTGCAGTGTCGCCCGTCTTTCTCCTCTTGTCTTTTGGCCGTCCCTGTTGCGAAGCCTCATGCAGGATGTCATCGGTGACGGACACCAAGGTCGCGATTCGCACGTTCAAGAGCTGCGTGAAGGATCAGGGGTGGTGAGCTGGGAAATGGTGGAGTTTGCTGTAGGCGCTGCGCATATTCTCCGTTGGTTACTCTTCCAACGCAGATCGAGCCAGAGCGTGGATCATGAACAAGTCAGAAGAAAGGCAGGGGAGCTACCCCGACCTTGATGACTGGCGTTTGCGAAACTGTCCTGGGCGTTTACCAAGCTGTCCTTGGCAACCCCCGTTCGGTTGGTGCGTGTGCTGAAGGGCTTCGCTTGTAGGGGTGCTTATCATGAAGATAGTTGAGATCCATAGGAACCCACAGCGGGTCCGAACGGCCACCTCGGAGTGCGGCACACGGGGTCCATGGGGTGAGGGGAAAGCCGCAGGGGTTCATAGGAAGCCATACGGCCAAGACGCTGAGTGGATCTCGAGGCCAGTCGCTGGTCTGCAACTTCCAGGGGCGCCGGGAGGAAGAGACTCGAGGGTCCCCTCCCGCCCCTTGTCCTGGGGCCTCGGAGTGCGGCGCACGGGGAGGTGTGGATCCGTTGGGCATCGTAGGGGTCGAAGCAGCCCAGGCGCGCAGGCCGTGACCGTCGCATCGCGGGCAACACTCCCCCAGCCGCGCGCCGCAGAGGCAACTCCTGCCCAGGGCCGCTCTGGCGTGCGGCCGAGTGCTGGCGCTTGTGGTCTCGCGCGGGCACCGCGCTGAGGAGATGTGCGCGGACGTCGTTGGCCCCCTCTTGGGGCACTCTTTGGGCGGTCCTGGGGCCGTCTTGGGGCCGTCTTGGGTGCATCCTGGGCCCATGGCCATCTTGGGGCCACCTTGACGCCTCGAAAACTAGTCAGGAGCGAGAAGCCGCGCTGAGGAGAGGTGCACGGGCGTCGTGTGCAATTCATGCTGTGTGTCGCGCGTGCCTGCTTGATTGTCACCTCCGTGGGCAGAAGCCGTCGGGGCGAACAGCACTTTTGGACATGTAGAAGCTTGCGGTGGTCCTCGCGGATTTCTTGGATCGGCGCTGGGCCTCCCTGGCGCGCGAAGCGCGTCAGGGGCGGCGCTGGAGGCGCCGCCAGGGCGGCCCAGAGCCGATCCAAGACATCTGCACCGACCTCAGACAGTGTGCGTTCATGCCGCCGTTTTCTGCTAGAGCAGGAGCAGGCGGAGGAGGTGATGTTCTGAATGCCTCCGTCGACAGGGCAGCGGCCGAGCTGTGCTCTTCGCTTGGGGGGGGGACAGCGTCGGGGAGCCCGGCGTGCCAGAGGATCGGCACGCCAGGCTCCCGCACGGACCTCCGAAAGCTTATGCTCGTGCAGGTTCTCTGCTCCTGGGCGCCTGCCGGTGTGCCTTCCCGCGTGGCGCGCCGCCTTTCGCGCGGTCCCCGTGGCGTTCCGAGGGCACGATCCTGCCCGCTTTTGTCCCGTCTTGCGTTGGCATGACCATGCCCAGTACCGTGGAAGCACAGGCCAATACATGCCCTGCTTGCCTCCAGGGTGCCCTTGGTTTCTTAGTTTCCGATGGTTTTGCGATGGGCAGCGTGACGCTCCCACACCATGAATCAAGGAGCATCCTCGGGCTTCAGGGTCGGGTCTCTTGTGGAAGGTTTCCCGCGTTCGGGCTTCTACTGTATCGCTTCACGCTTCGCATTCTGACCGCAGCGTGCATGGGCGAAACGCGTTCTCTTCCATACAAATGAGCGACGCAACACAACAGCGGGACCGTCTTGGCCTACATTGTCGCGTAAGCTGCCCGCGTAAGGTCGCGCGTGAGCGCCCTCGTCGCCAACATAACGTGCCTCTCTGGCTGTCCGCGTAATCTGCGTCGTAAGGCCGTTGTCCCATCTCGCGTAAGACCCGTCCTTGATCGTCGCTCAAATGTCTCCCCCCGTCTCCTGCCAGAGGACAAGGGCGGCGCCGCCTGCGCCGCCGAGCGGGCGAAGGCCGTGGGCGGCATCGCCGCGGCGATGAAGACGGAGGGGTGCGGGTGGGGGTGCACCACGCGGGTGGTGATAGTGGTGGTGGTTGTCGTCGCCGTCGCCCTCGCTCTCGCTCTCGCATTTCCGGGGCCGCCCCTGGCGCGCTCCGGGCGCCAGGGCAGGGTGGACCAGCGCCGATCCAAGAAATTCGCGCGGACCTCCGAGCTCTTAGGTTTGCGCAGTTTTTTCTTCCTTTCTGTTGGGGGGGCATCCGCGGGGGGAGGTGAGGATTAGGGGGATGGGTATCATGGACGGACCATGACATCTTCTAGATTTCATGGTACCACCACGTTCGGCAGCCCGCCCGATGGGAAGGCAGAGGGGATCAGCCTTCTCAGAAGGCGGCGGGGCTTCTCAGAAACGATTCCGTCTCAGAAGCCGAGTGTGATTTTGGAGAAGGTTCAGAAGGCTTCTCAGAAGGTTGGTAGGGGGCGTACCAGGTGCAGTGGGGATGCGTATCAAGAAGCCATGTGCTTTTTGTTCAGGTAGGGGTCTATTGTTTGTTCTCTGCGAGTGCTCAGTGTTGACTTCCCGCGGGGGGGAGGAGCTGCTTGGTTTATGGTGCCTTTGGGTTTCTTCCGATTTCACCCTCGCGCGCGACTTTTCAGGGTTTGGTTTCTTGCGGCCGCGTCCGCACTGTCGAGTGATCCGTCATTGCTGTATTGGCGACGTAGTTTTCCAGCGGCAGGCCTCTCCTCGTTGTCTCGGGGATCGAGCCGACAGCCCAGGTTTGGTTGCTTGGACGCCTGGGATTCTGCGGGACAAGGGATGCACTGTGTCACAGGCTAGAGGCTGATGTGTTGGCGCGTCCTGCGTCACTGCGAGCAGGGCTTGCATGCCGCTCCCGCTGTGGTGTTGCCTCCGCACCCCTCCGTGCCATCAGGGTGTCGTGCCTCGAATCTTGCTGATTCGGGCGTATCGGGGCAAGGTTGAGGCTGCTCGTGTAACCCCACCAGCCCATCCAGAAACGATGCCCAGGCGAGTTGCCCTGATCAGGCGAGTTGCCCACACGAGTTGGCCATGCAGTGGAATCAGTGATTTGGGAAGCCGTTATATCCCAAGAGGGGGAGGGTCGAGAAGAACTCGGAGGAGGAAGTACAGGGGGAGGCGGGGGGCTGAGGATGGACGAGGAGGAATCGATGATGCGGAAGAGGATGACGAGGAGGACGAGGAGGAGGAGGATGAGGAGGAGGAGGAGGAGGATGAGGAGGAAGAGGAGGAGGAGGAGGAGGAGGAGGAGGAGGAGGATGATGAGAGAGGGAGGAGGAGAAGGAGGAGGAGGAGGAGGGGGAGGAGTAGTAGTAGTAGTAGTAGGAGGAGGAGGAGGAGGAGGAGGAGGAGGAGGAGGAGGCGGATGAGGCGGAGGAGGCGGAGGAGGCGGATGAGGCGGAGGAGGAGGAGGAGGAGGAGGAGGAGGAGGAGTAGGAGGAGGAAGAGGAGGAGGAGGAGCAGCAGGAGAAGGAGCAGGAACAGGAGGGGGAGGAGGAGGAGGAGAAGAAGGAGGAAGAGGAAGAGGAGGAGGAGGAGGAGGAGGAGGAGGAGGAGAGGGGAGGAGGAGGAGGAGGATGAGGAAGGGGAGTAGGAGGATGCTGATGAGCAGAGGAGGGGGAGGGGAGGAGGAGGAGGAGGAGGAGGGAGGAGGAGGAGGAGGAGGAGAAGGAGGAGCAGGAGGATGAGGAGGAGGAGAAGGAAGGAGAGGAGGAAGAGGAGGGGGATGAGGAAAAGGAGATGGAGGAGGAGGGCCAGAGGTTGCTTGGATGCCTCTTTAAGTCCCTTCGGATGTTTCTTGAACTCTCCTGTGAGTTCTCTTGGAGCGTCTTGGGGGCGTCTTGGCGGTCCTGGGGGCCTCTTAGTGCGTCTTGGGTGCCTCGGGGCGGCCTTTTGGAACCTCTTGGGTGTCTCCTGGAAGCCTCTTGGGGACCTCTTTGGGGCCCCTGTGGCATTTCTTGGGGCTCTCGGCATGAACGTTCGTTAGAACATAGGGTTTCCCCTCCTCGTGTGAGCCCACCTTGGGGCCGCCCTTGGGGCCGCCCCTCTTGATCAGCTGCATCTGCGCGGTTCGATCGAGCGAGCCTACCTTACCAATCCGCTTGTGCGAGTGCGGGCATGACGATTTCTGGCAACCCTTCCAACTGGATTTGTCCCAGCATATGATGCGGCCGCTCGCGGGGGACTTCGGACGGTGATCGAGGCTGCGACCGTACTCCTTACGAGTAAGGGCATGCCCCAGCAGCCCTGCACCTTCTCGACCTCCTGCCACTCCTCCTGCTGCACCTCCCGCCTCCGACCCACCCGCCCCCACCTTGCCCGCTTTGGGCCCAGGCCTGGGGTGGATCGGCTGCGGGGCGGGCACCGCGTTGGAGCGGAAAGCCGTCTGCCACTGCGACCTCGTGAGCTTGTTGTGGTACCTGACCATGATGTCCTTCATGAGATACTGGTCGGGCTCATCGAGGAAGTAGGTGCGCGGCATCCGCAGCCACGGCCCAGGGTCCTCGCTGCTGGCGGGGGACGTGCATACAAAGCGGATGCGATCCCAGGTCGGGTTTTCGTCTCCCATGAGTTCCGACATGCGCGCCCTCTTCATGCGCAGCTCCTCACACCAGCGACCTCGAAGCTCCGCCCATATGCCGAAGATGACGTTGGGCGGCCACGCAGACTCCGCCTCGTCGTTGAGGCTGAGCAGGAGCTCTGATCTGCTGGTCGTAGTGCTCCTGGCCGTAGAAGCATGCCCAAGCCCGCGACTCCCGCGTGGCGTCTTGGAACCAGTGCTGGGGCGTAGACTCATGCCTTGGCCGTGCCTCGAGCTTGTAGTCCTTCGGCGGCACGTAGTTGTCCATGTCGGCCTCAGTCGTCTTCGGGAAGTTGGCGCAGCTGAGGCAGTAGTCCAGCAGGTGCATATGATCACGCCCGCCGTGCTGGAACGCCGCGAGGCCGTGCGCGATGCTGTTCGTGATATTCGTGGGAAACTTAATCGGCCGAAGGAGCGGCCGAGAGTTCTGACCCACGGACCTCAGCGCATGGACACAACGTGACGGCGTAGTAGTCGCATCCACTCGCCACGAACGTGAGCTGCTCCTCCACGCGCCCGATGCTGGCCAGAGTGCCCTTAGCTGCGCCTCCAGACTCCTCCGCATGCTTGTTGGCTCGCCCCAGCTCGCGCACCAGATTCTGAAACCCGATGCCGACCTCGGACTCGGGCGACGGCGCGCCCGGGGCCCTCTCCTCCTGCGGCATCGACGAAGCCCCTGCATGCCACTCTCGCGGCCGCGTGGCCCGCTCCACGAAGGAGAGCTGCCGGGGCGGTCTGGCGGTCCAAGGCGTAGTCGAGCTGGCCCCTCCTGTTCCGTAGAACGCGCTCGAGTTGAAGCTGGCCTGCGCCTCCTGCCGCGGGGGCGGCCTCTGACCGAAGCCTAGGAAGCCCAGGCCCGGCGAGGGTCCCGCTGGGGACGGCCTCGGCGGGGCCGCTGGGCCCGCCTGCCCGCCCCCTGGGGGCCAAGGCGGCGCCGCTGCTCTCTGCCCCCCGACAGCCCCCTCGTGACCGTCGTAGGGTGTGTGGGCCGGTGGCTGCGCGGAGGGGCCCTCCGTCCCTCCTGGGGCTTGGCGTCCTTCTCCTCCCTCGAGCTCCTTGCTCAACACCTGACGGCATCCTCTAAGGAGACTGGCGCCCACCTCGCTGACACCTCCACCGTGCGTCGCGTCCGCTGCCTCGATGAGCTTCGCGAGTAACTCGTGCCTGCCCATGCCGCTCTCGGACGAGATGGCCCCTCTGGCCGCTCCGTCTGTGAGCCCGTCCGCGCGCTTGGTGAGGTAGGCCGAGATGAGCATCGACCTCGGGTCCTGGCTCCGCTGCTCCTCATCCTGCTCCTGAGCCCTCCTCAGCTTCGCGTCGAAGTCCGCCCGCGCCTCTCGCCTCGTCGGGGTAGTGCTGCGGCTCCTGGACCGCGCCCGCTTGGCGAGGTGACGGCGACTGCGATCCTTGCTGAGCGCTATGGCGGACGCTGGGCTCAAGACGCCCCCCTGGTAGTTCGTGCCGTCGACGTGGTCCGAGAGCCGCAGCGTTGCGCCGGAGCGCCAGCAGATGGCAGGCGGCCGGGCCCCCACGAACTCGTCGAGCAGCTCCAGCCTCGGGGCCGAGAAAGCGCCATCCGGGATGGAGAAGACCAGCCCCGGGCCGATCGCTTCCACGTCCGTCCGCGGGTCGTAGTCGTTGCAGTCCTTGGTCGGACCGACGAAGCGCGCCGGAAAGCTGTAGTACGCATCCCACTCGTGATCCGCGTCGGCCAGAGGATCCCGTACATGTAGCAGCCAAGCCGCCTCGACCTCGGCCTTGGCGGGGCTGCCTTTGCGGCCTTGTGTGATTCGAGTCTAGAGGCCTGTGGTTTTCAAGGCCGATGCCCCCGCTAGACTCCCTGAGCTTGAAGGTCACGAGCGTGGGTCGTAACCATTTTGGCTCAAGACCCAACTTCTACTCATTCCTCATCACTCATACCATACCCACCTTACACCTCCTCCTTTCCCATACCGTTCTGTGCTTGATCTGTGAAGCGTTGGAAGCTGTGTACTGAGCAGAGAGTGCGAGGGTTCTCTTGCTGGAGAAGAAAGGATCGAGCACTTTGGCCTCATTGTTATCGTCCGTCGGGCGACAGTGGTAGCGGAGCTGTGAGCAGCTCTGGGTCCGCGGACCAATGACGGCAGCAGCGGGGCAAGGTGCTAATCGAGAGACACAGCGAGAAGAACGAGGGGAGCATTCCGCAGTACGAGCAGTGACTGACACACTGATGAGGCATGACGGTCTCAACCTCTACCAGGATGAGGCAGAGAAGTTGGCACGTCTGTTACTACTGGACGTGGTGCCGGCCAGTTCCCAGAGTCACCAGCGAGACCCACATGGGGACGGCGACAGTGGACGGCGGCGCGGTCACGGACAGAGCTCAAGTGCTCCGTGGTCAAGCGCCGAGGATCGCTCGTGGACGGGCTGGCAATCAGCACAGCCAGAGCACGA